GCATTTCGAGACACTTCGTTGGAAAGGAAATCTTGGGGCAACTAGATAGGGTGACAAATTTGGAGAACCGTGCCTTACTGGAGGAGGATCAGTGTTTGTTGTCAAGCAATGGTCTGTAGAAGAGTTTCTGGACTGAGGCTTCGACATATTCGAGCCATCTTATTAAAGAGTTGTGATTGGAGGTAAAACTTCATTAGAAGATAGGTCTGGTAGTGTCACTTTGGTTGAGGCTTCGATGAGGGAGCTAATTGACTCTCAGCAGGTGGAGAGTTTTGGACAGACCTTAGAGGTATCGCAGCGGGTGGAGATTGATGCTACTCCACATTGGGTAGGGATTTTTCCACATACTTCAGGTCATTCTGCATTGGTTGGGATTCCAACTGAGGTGACACAGCATGGAAGTCATTTGGATTCGGATGCAGATGATGAGTTGGGTTTTGACTCGAGTGTAGCTGGTAGATGCAGTTTGGATATGACCATTGGCTCACCTCAGGTGGAGGTGTTTGAGGCCATTGGAGGTGCTATCAGCCACAGAGTTGATGATATTGGAGAAGGGTTGCGAACTCTTCTAGTGAATTGAGGCCTTTGGAGGCCATTTGGGTGAACTACGTTCGGCTTGATTCCTTGGGCAAGAGGATACGTAGGCAGTCTTATGATGCAGCCGGTTTGGATTTTTGATGGGGGTGAGATCGATTTGGTGAGTTGATACCAATATTTGGAGAGTGTTTGCACTCTCATTTGGTTTCTCGACTTGTTATGGATTGAGTCCGTTGTCGTGAAATGTTTCACTTCGTACTGGACACAACAAGTGAGACATTTGGTTTGGTTGGTGTCGGCTCAGTTTTGAAAAAACTTCGCCGAGGTGGAGAATTGTTGGAGCACGTGATGTGGGGTCCACCCACGTTGATGGCTTTTCCCAGCCAAATTTTTTCCGCGTGAAGACTTCGGTTTTGTCCAGCGGACAAATCTGCTTTGATGGCTTTTCCCAGCCAAATTTTTTCCGCGTGAAGACTTCGGTTTTGTCCAGCGGACAAATCTGCTAGCCCACCCGATTACCCAATTGATAGCTATATATAGATGGTCACAAGATGTCTAGGGTTTTGGGCTTGGTGAAAAGTGCAATTGAGGGGGGTGGCTGCGGCTTTGGAGCAGGCGCAAAAGAAAAAGTGGGGGAGAGCTCTGTTTTGGTGTGCGTGCAAGGCAGAATTAGTGAGGAGAGAAAAAGTGTTTTGGAGGTTGACCTTTTCTTGAGAAGAAAAGCAAGGAGCTTATTTGAGGGTTTAGATTGTGAGAGTTGTAAACCCATTGTATTCTTTTTCTCTTTAATAGTAGATCCCCCCTCCTTGCCCCGTGGACGTAGGCAGTTTGCCGAACCACGTAAAATTAATTGTTTGAGTTTGTGACCATTGTAATAGTTTTTAGGGTCCCTCGACGCGCAGTCCTAGAGCTGACGAGAGGAAGAGCTATTATCCCACTTTGATGGGATATTAGGCTTCAGATTCCTGTTCCCTTTGAGAAACAAGAATTCTTATCGATCTTTCTCTCTTATTGTGCACCAGAAACTCTGCCGAAATTTCCGCTGCGCACAACAAAAAGGGTACCGTTAAGTTACAAAACGGGTTATAACGGGTCATATAACGGATTTTTTTTTCAACTATGGTATAGCCACAAGCTGCGATGGATTTTATGTTTTATTTTTAACCTCTTCAAAATTTCTACTCATTTTTTACTTAAATATGTGCATTTTGTTAGAAACGATCTCCAGCACTTTTCGATAACCTCTCCCAAGCGCTTTTGATGGCGCCATTCTTTGCTCTCATTGAGGTACTCAGCACCTTGTTTAAAGTTGAAAGGTTAGAAATGAAAAACTCAAGGACTTGCCACTAACTTGCAGGTACTTGAGAAACTTTTTCATTATGAACACTATCCTGGACTTTGGACCAGCGTTCGTGCGAAGATTGATGAACGTCGAAAGGAATGGGAGGAGGAGAAGCATCATCATCATCATATCATCATCATAAGGAAGTTTCTAAGATATAGTTCCTCAGTATAAGAAAGTACGAGAGAAATCACAACCCGTAGTTTTGGTAACCATTAAAGATTGCCACCTCTGGTGTAGTGTGCAACAAAATTTAATTTAGAAGAAATAATGCACAAAATCATGTACTTGAAACTTTATTATTAGAAAAAGGAAAAAGTTCATAGTACAATATAAATATATGGTATGTCCAAAGTATGTCTACGAATATTTGCATACCTCTCTGTTTACTAACTGTTCAGGATCGGAATGAGTGCGGATTACCTGATATGAGTTGTTGAATTTTGAACTCCATAGACCTTTTCTTTTTCTTTTTCTTTTCTTTTTTTTGGGGGGTATATTTCGCCTTCAAATTTCATTTTTTTTTTGACAAGAACAATGTGATCAGTGTCATAGTCCATCTCTCTTGATGCTCCTAGATTCTCATTTCATGATATGTAGTACTATATGTGCTAGCATCAAATATTTGATTGAGAACTACCCTGGCAATTTGATGTAACTGAAACTTGACATTATGAGTCTGTTTGAGTCTGCCATATCCATCACCCATGCAGATGACAATCACAAGATGTTAATATGAATTTCTGGATCTACCTGTTTTTGCCATTTCTAATGGTACTGACATGGGCCTTTCATTTATCGCCTTCACTTACTTTTTCTATACAGGAATAATTTGATCAATACCAGAATCCAGCTCTGTTGATGCTCCAAAATTCTCATGACATATAGTATTATATTGTGGTGGCACCAAATATTTGATTAATGACTTGTCTGGCATTTTGACTTAACTGAAACATTAAGAGTCTACTTTAGCTTCAAGCTAATATATCAGTTTCCAATGCAGATGACCATCTAAAGACATAAAAAGGAATTTGTTTGTGTTGGAAAGCTAATCTATGGACTAAGTGGGGGTTAATGAGAGATTAGGCATGCTTAATCTCCTCTGATGACTAAACAGGTTAAGAAAGGCCGATCCTTGGACAAGCAGCAAATGTTAGCGGCCCCGGAGAATATTTCCTCTGTCGGGCCCTTCAATGCTCAAGTAAGTGACTGATAGAATCAATATGAATGAATGTAAGGTACACTTTAGGGTTCGAAGAGTTCAAACCTGAGAGCGGTGGTGGTAGTTAATGTTTATAAGAGAGATTGGGGGCAAATTGGTAATCTGATCTGAGCAGCGGCAGTGACATTTGACTTACTCTTTAGGCATGTTAGCAACTAGGAGGGTGAGTTCGCAAGAGTCATCCATATGGCATTCAATGCGATAGCAACAGGGTGACGGAGCTCAAGTGCTGTCTGAAGAGTCATTATTACATTTGACTAGGTATTTAATGCGATGACGACTGAGTGGGGAATATGGGCAACGCTCGAGAAGTCATCATCACGCCTGAGCCTTGACCATGCATTAAATGTGGGTGTTACTGAGGAGGCAGTTGGACATTCATTCCCTTACCTCATGAGGAATGCTCTCTGGCAGAGTCTAGTCGGAAGACGCCTTTTGACTCGAAGTCAAACTCTTGGGAGGTCAGTTAGTCTACTCGGACTATGACTACACCCGGGTCGGGTTTTTGGTCATACAACCCGACCTGACTAATTGACACGTAGCCAGTTCTCGAGAGTTTATGTACTTGTGACTTTTAGGGTACAGCAGAATTTATTTTGAATCTACCACATTTTGTACCTGCTGACAACTCTGATGTAAATATAGTAATACCCTGTTCAATCTAGGCTTCTAAATCAAGAAAATAATACAACATATTAGCATTTTCCCTGATCAACAGTCTACCTGCCTCAATGTGAACAGCACCAGCTTCCTTCATCGCACATTTTAATCCATCAATCTCCTAACCCTCGCAACTCCTTCCCATTCTCCCAAAGAAGCATAAATATTAGACAGCAACGCATAGTCTCCACTCCCACTCTCATCCTTCCATTTCATCATCAAAAGCTCCTCATTTTCTCTTCTTCCCAACTCAACATTCCCATGAACCTTACAATCTTCAACAAATGCTCTCCATATTATCGAGTTCGCCTCTATCCGTTGAGAAAAAACAAATATAAAAACAGATTCAAAAAAGTATACAGGAACAAAAAAAAGAACAGAAAGTTAGAGACATCATATTAAAACACTTAAGTTTGAAATACATTACAGAAGTGCCGAATTGCCCTCTTAACGGAGGACTGACCTTGAAGAAACTATGCCTCACCTACGGTAGCGTTGGGTCTGCACAGTACTTCGGAGAATAAGACGACTGCAGTCCAAAGAAGCGCTCTATTTTTGTGAACACCACAACTACTTCAGTTTGCCAGAATCTCCAATACTAAACAGCTTATAGAATTATTGAAAGAAGAAGAAGACAGGAGATTTCATTTTTTGTGTCTTTCAAATGATTAGAAAAAACCCTTTTATAAGGTTCATGAGAGACAAAGATTTGAATTCCAGTTATTGCAACGTTTGTAACATCTGCATAAAACCTATTCAATCCTTGTAACATTTGTAACGTACGAAACGCTCAGCTGGTTTTAAGGGAGCACATGCAAAACGTTTAAGCTCATTTATTGTCCTTGTAGTTTTAGTAACAAAAAAAACTTACATCGCTTGCGTTGTGTAAATTACAATTCCAAAAGAAATAACGCACAAAATAATGTCTTAGTTGTACTTCACTATTAAAATATTCATGTGAATAGATAAAAATATATGTCCGTTGGCGGTGGGTTGGGCGGGGGGGGGTGGTTTGATAGGGATTCTGCATGCGCCCAATAAATAACGATGCAGCCTCTGCTTTCTTTGAACTCCATAGACATTCTTTGTAATTATCGGCTTCAAATTTCATTTTGTAGGCAGAACAGTGCAATCACTGCCATAATCCAGCTCTGCTGATGCTCCTAAATTTTCATGTTGTGATGGTCTCATATATAAAATTCCATAATATTTGATTGAATATTCTCTTTCATCATTTTTCTTCTAAACTTGTCTGACAATTTATTTACTGAATCCTCCGTATCCATTTCTCATGCAGATGACCATTAATAGGCATCAAATATCAATATGAATTTGTTCTGGATCTATCAGCTTTTTGCTTACATTCCATTTTCTGATAATTCTCCTGTGAGTATAACAGTACCATGTTCAGTGCAGTCCTCTCTACGTACTATAGTTCAATTCGGGATAGTCCCCTGTAGTTCTATTGTTGCAGATAGGACCCCTGACTGATCTTTGACACTCAGGAGGTCTATTTGTTAAAAAAGAACTCATTCGTTCTGAGGATAAAAGAGCCAAATTTTTTTGAATCAGGAGGTCTATCTGCAACGATACCAGAAGAGGGGTATCCGTACTTGGGCGATAGTACACGGGTCTATCCGCAATTGGGGGATAGTACAGGGTTCTGTCCGCAATTAATCCTGTAGCACATGAGCTATTTCTTTACAACAATCTACCTGCACCAATGAGTGTAGAACCAGCTTCCTTCATCACGCCACTATCATCCATCAATCTCCTCACTTTCTCAACTCCCTCCCATTCCCCTAAAGAAGCATATATATTAGACAACAACACATAATCTCCACTCCCGCTCTCATCCTTCCATTTCATCTTCAAAAGCTCTTCATTTGCTCTTCTCCCCAACTCAACATTCCCATGGACTTTACAAGCTCCCAGCAAAGCTCTCCATATAATCGGATTCGCCTCAATCTTCATCCCATCAACAAACTCAAACGCTTCATCCAGAAACCCAGCTCGCCCGAGCATGTCAACCATACATCCACAGTGCTTCATGTTCGGTTCAATGCCATATTCATTTCTCATAAGATGAAAGTACCTTCTCCCATCATCCACCATCCCTCCATGGCTACAAGCGACGAGAATGCTAACGAAGGTAATCTCGTCTGGCTTCACTCTCATCCTCCTCATCTCCTTAAATAGACGAACGGACTCGTTGGCATGCCCATGGACAGCTAATCCTCCAATCATTGAATTCCAACTCGAGACGTCCCTCTCTCTCATCCCTCGAAACACTCGCATCGCTCTCTCAATGCTCCCACATTTTGCATACATGTCAATCAAAGCATTTCCAACATGCACATTTACTCTATTGAGAGAGGAATGTAGCTTTATGCCAATATCAATCGACCCGGTATCAGCACAAGCTGATATCAAGCTCAGCATTGTGACCTCATCGGGTCGCTCCCCTACACTTCTCATCTCCTCAAACATCTCCATCGCCTTATCTTGCGAGCCACACTTAGCATACCCAGCAATCATCACGTTCCAAGAAACGGTATCTTTCTCCGGCACGCGATCAAACAATTCCCTCGCCTTATCCATCTCCCCTCTCTTTGCATACCCCGTGATCATCACGTTCCAAGCAACCAAATCCTTCGAATCGATCTCATCAAACAACGTCCTCGCGACATCAAGTTCCCCTCTCATCGCGTAGCCCGCAATGAGAGAGGAACTCGCGACAATGTCACCCCTAGCACGTGAATCAAACAGCACATTGGCCGTGGATAAGTCCCCGCACTTTGCGTGGAAGTTAATGAGGGCGTTCCGTATAAAATTATCAGATTCAAGACCGAGCTTGACAATCCTGGAATGCAACTGCGCGGCGAGCGGCGGTGAACGGAGGTGCACACACGCACGGAGGAGGAAGGGGAAGACGAGGTGGCAGTCATGGTGGGGCCTGATAGCAGCCTGCTCCATGCGGGCATAGAGGGGGAAGGTGGTGGAGGGGTCCGATGAGTGGGAGGCACCGCGGATGATGGTGGAAAATGTGAACGTGTCCGGGTGGGGAATTTGGTCGAACAGCTTGAGGCGGTGAACGGAGGTGCACACACGCACGGAGGAGGAAGGGGAAGACGAGGTGGCAGTCATGGTGGGGCCTGATAGCAGCCTGCTCCATGCGGGCATAGAGGGGGAAGGTGGTGGAGGGGTCCGATGAGTGGGAGGCACCGCGGATGATGGTGGAAAATGTGAACGTGTCCGGGTGGGGAATTTGGTCGAACAGCTTGAGGGCGTACGGGAAAGCGAGGGGGATCGACACCGCTGCGGAGAAGATGAGTTCTCGGAGGGAGCAGGGGTTCGAGAGAAAGCCTTTGGAGATGATTTGGGCATGGATTTGTTTGAGGGATCGGAGGTTACTGCCGGATTTTCTTAACATTGGGGACCTTTTGAATAGAGGCTTCCCGCCAAAAAAAGAGGTTTTAGAATAAGAGGAGTTAAAAAGTTACGCAGGGATAAGTTAATGGGTAACTCTGTAGGAACTCTACTGGATGGGACTAATCCTCGCTCGCGCTGTGCCGTAGGCACTGGCCCACGGAGGGTCTACTCACCTGAGGGGGATCCCGGCCCAAGGAGAGTTTAATTACCTGAGGGGGATCTTGCTCATGCTCGGCGGTACGCGCTGGCGCAATGAGATCAATTACCTGATGGGAATCTATTTATCTAATCCGAGCCGCGTTGTAACGCAGAGCTTTGTGCAACTCATGGCTGAAGACTGCTTATTGTCTGATTCAAAACTATGATCATATTTTGCAAATAAAGTAGTTGACCTAGATGTTTGTCAATACTACAGGAGAGCTTACAAAGAGAGGACCAAGCGAGCGCTCAAAATCTACGTAATCGTACTGCAAATATTGTAGTAGTTACAGATTGAAGTGATGAATTTAGTCCTTCAACATCTTCCAAAATTAAAACTTTTTTCCCTGTCAATATCAAAATAAATATGATAACTAGGAATGAGAGAGAAATGGGGTCTGTGCAACAAACAATTCGTAGAACACCACAACTGATGCCTGTTACTTGATTCAATAGAGATTTTCTTCCCCGATCTAAATATCTCTGACATTGGAACTTAAAATTGTATGTGACCTATAAAGTTCACAGCATGAAGACGATCATACACATCTAGAGACATGAAGCTTTAGTCCATGAGCCATCGATAATATCGTCATCATCCTGTAATGCACCGGATGGTTTGGCACCAGAGTGAATGTGAAGAACCTGCATAGGATTGCCAGAGTCATCTTCATCTGTAAATATGCAGAATCTTTTCCCAAGCAAATTCGAGGTCCAGCCTGAAAAAAAAAAACGATACGTGTCTTTACCTTGATCGTTATGAAACCAACATCTATTTATAATTAAGGTTATTTGCAGAGATACTATGAGGTTGTAGCGGTTTCTATCACCCAAAATTTTATGGTTAATTGCACATAGACCCCTTGTACTATTGTGCTGCGGAAATTATTACCTTTAAGTTCAATACTGGCAGATGCACCGCAGAGGGAATTTTTTTGACTCGAGTCATAAAATTTTCACTCAGGGTGTGTATCTGCCAATATCAAGCTTGAGAGGTAATAAGTGGCAAAACATGATACTACTATGGGGGCTAGGTGCAATTAAATTCATTAAGAAGCGAGCATATATACCTGGAAAGCAGTGAACTTGAATGGAGAGACATTACGAAGAACTCCATCCTCAAACCAACGCTCGGGCTTGAAAGATTTTGCATCTTCTCCCCAGTTGTACACCATTCTTCCCATTGAATATGGCACATATGTTACCAATCCTCCAGTCTTCACTTTCGTCCCATCAGGCAACACATCATCCTCTAGAATTCCTTTAGGATCCTATAACGAAACAAAAACCAGAAGATAAATTTATCGTCTTCTAAAGAATTCAATTGAGCATGCGGTACTTCACGTTTGTTACTTTACCTGAGGGACTGCAGGATAGAGCCTGAGAGTCTCAGTGATACATGCATGAAGATAAGGTAACCTTGCTAAAGAATCATAATTCAAGAGGCTAGCAAACTGTGAAATCCTTTTGTTGAAGGAATTGATATCATCAGCTTCGTACGAGGTTAAAGTGACCTTCTCTTCTTTGGCTTGTCGTTCCTCGAATGCCTTGAGCTCTGAGTATATTTTAGCTGATACATGAGGGTGAGTCATGATCATGTAGACAAACCAAGAAAGGGTTGTGGCTGTTGTGTCTCTTCCAGCGATTACGAAGTTTAGGACAACATCTCTGAGGCTCTTATCGTCACTGAAATCACTTTCTGGGTCTTCTCCTAGCTCGATGAATCTTGATAGTATGTCATTCTTCATTTGTCCCTGGTGTCATTTGCAGCATAGATAGAACTAGTTAGACAAGAAAGAAGATTATAGATGTTTATGCCCTTTAAACAAAACTTGTAATTCCGCCTACTGAATCTAAACAGCATGAGGAATTAGTCTTATTCACAAACTCTATGTTTTATCTACTGATTTATAGAACTGATGTTTGAATTAAACTTCCAAAAGTTGGAAATAAATCAGATACTTGTTTTATGAATATAAAAACCATTTATTAGATGGAAAATTTCACAACTTATATCGGACACATTGCCTGGTCTTTGACAATTGGCTTATCAGGTTCAGGTCAATTATGTACATTCAGTAATTCTGCACCAAAGTTTCAAATAAATTTATTATCAGGGTTAGATTGCTGGTCCGCAACTATTAATTATTGCTAGGAATATTAGCTGTTTAGACAATAATTAACACGAAATTAGACGATTAATATAAGATAAAAGCAGATTAATATTTTATCACAGAAATGAAATTAATTGTAACGAAATATAAATAAAGTTAGAAATACGGCCTGATGGTCGAGGCGTGCAAGGCACTGTCACAAGAATCTAATTGCCCCCTCTCGTACAGGGCTACGCGACAATAGTTCCCGAAGATACAACGACCCTCGGTCAGGCGACCTCCTTCTCATCGGCACGAGCTTCAAGAAGGCTTTGTGAATTCTTCTCAACTTTCAGGGAACCAGCGGAAGTGTAATAGCAGAATATATTCGAAAAGAGAAGAGGAAGAGAAAAGATCTGTTTCTTCACACTGTATTTTTTCGCCTTCGCAGCTTTGAGTTTTTATAGAGGTTAAGGATGAACGTTTTTAATTACCGATTTAATTCTCATAAAAGTCCGTTTCCGTTTTGATTCTGTTTAAATATTACGGTTTCAAATCAATTTACCGTTTTAATTATATTGAAAAGAAGAATGTAGCAGAATATATTCGAAAAGAGAAGAGGAAGAGAAAAGATCTGTTTCTTCACACTGTATTTTTTCGCCTTCGCAGCTTTGAGTTTTTATAGAGGTTAAGGATGAACGTTTTTAATTACCGATTTAATTCTCATAAAAGTCCGTTTCCGTTTTGATTCTGTTTAAATATTACGGTTTCAAATCAATTTACCGTTTTAATTATATTGAAAAGAAGAATGTAGCGGATTAAGATCCCCTCACTCCGGAGGGGCATTCGTGTCCGCAGGTTGTGTGCCACCCTACCAGAGCCCGAATCCGGCCCGACCGGCACGCGCGTGTGTGGTGTGGAGCATAACCTTTATTTTCTTCTAGGCATAAGAGAGAAGGGAAAGACTTATAAACACCCTTCCTTCCTATTTCATTTCCTATGTGGGACTAAACTTTCCCACTACAATGTCAAGTTTTAAGTTACACTTATTATAACTCCAACAATTATACTATTATATATTGAGTACGATTGATGTAGAAGAATAGTACCTTATTTCTGGTTCCATTTCCTCCGGCTTCCACAATCTCCGATTTCCTTTTCCTAATCACATCGTAGGTGAATTCATCCACAACCTTGATGCATTTTTCAAGAAGGGCTTCTGACCCTACTCGAAGAAATCTCTTTATTCTCCATAAAGGATCAACAAACCTCAGTGTGACAATGATGTTTGCTGTATCAAAAGCATGTGCAAAGGTGTTATCAGGGAGTTCAGGTGACAGAGTCCCAATCTCAACGCCGAATCCAACCTTGCATATTGAATCTAGTGTCATCCTCATGAACAAATCCTGAGATAGAGCAATTATGTGCTTTAGATCTTTAGCCATTACACAAAACACAAGGCGTGTCATTGAGAAGAACGAAGAGTACCTGCATATCTATGCTTTCGTTAGCAATTGATGCCTGGCATAAGATACTGGAGAGCTTTGTTGCATATTCTCTAAATACAATGGTACTGAAGTCTCTCAGGTTCTTTGAAGCAAACTCGAAGCTAGCAGTCTTTCTTTGCTTCTTCCACATCTCTCCATCTGCATTGAAGATCCCATCTCCAAGAAGAACATCCATATACGAACGATATAACTCTCCCTTCACATAATCAAAACAGAAGAAACATGAGAAATAAATTTGACATACTTAGTCCCGTATGAGTTTAATTTTCTTACCTTGGGGTAATTGCTGAAGTTAACCTTAAGAATATGTTCAACATTTACCGGATCTGCAATGTAGGTATACGTTGTGAAGGGTAGAGAGACTGATATGGTCTTCGACTCTGAGAGGTAATCTGCAAGCCAATCGTGCATGCGATTGTAGTTCCTTAGTAGTTCGATTGTGGCACCGATGATTGGCCATTTCTTTGGACCTCTTTGATTTCTTTGTCTCCAACGATACATTAAGATCCATGAGAAAAAGATCAGTGAGAATGGGAGGATCTTGTAAAATACATATGTGATTGAAGATATTAAGGTTAAATGGTTAGTTTCTTGCATCTTAGTTGACAAAGGTACGGTTAATTGCTATTAGTTATAAGGGGAATAGGAGAGATTAAGTAGTTGAAGTATAGTTGGGAGATGGAAAATTAAGAAGGCCACCATTCATTAAGCAGTCTTGGCGTGATTTGAGTTTAGATGGATTCATTTCTTTTGTATGCATCACCTAAAAACTAAACAATACTGGGGAATGAGCTGAGCTTGTTCTCAGCACCCTCTTTAAGTTTGTACCTATTATTGAGGTCACACAACTAATATATCCATACATCTCATCAATATGAATTCCCTCTGACTGATTCGACCAAAAGAAAAATAGTAACCAAATATCCCCTTAAAAACAAAAGAAACCAAAATAGATCATACATAGGGGTGATACAGATAACATATGCATCCAATATGAAGGTCACACACTAAAACTCGTATATCAAGATCCATGTCAATATCAATTTTCTGCTGAACACAGGAACCACAGATCATACACATGGTAAAGAGAAAATGACATGAAAATATTGCTCAATAATCAACAGAATAAAGTTCAAATCTTATTGCTTAGAACCAATTAACCATTATTATAAGCATCCTTCCATAGCCGTACAGATAAATTAAAAAATCATACCTACTAAAAAGGTCGATTCAATTATATAGATAAATCCCAGTCTCTTAGATAACTCCCTACAATTTCTTCAACAAGGCAAGACAATTGAGAACTCCCAATGCACCAAGGAATCCAATCACTCCTGTAGCCAATACAACAGCAAGAGCCATAATGATCGAGTACCCAATACAGATTACTACAGATGCAGTCTCACTCGGTCCTCTTAGATCAAGCACTAGGTATTTTACTGAGTAAATAAACACATATAAGCCATTTGAGCTTGAAGCAAAGAATGCTTTCCACTCCCAATTCCAATCATCGGCAATAATGCACATATAATTAACCTTGCCATCCTGATACTGCAACACAAGTGATAACTAGAAAGAGGACACTGATCAGAGTGTGTTGAAGATCACAATAGGATCCCCCATCCCAAGTACAATAGAAAATATGTGCTAGCTCGTAGCTAATGCTTCCAAAGGTAATAAAGCCAGATAATAGTATAAAAACCATCATACGAAATAGATTGACGGGTGTCCCTCTCCTGTGCTCAGTACAAAATTCTTTTGATATGATGCATCTTGCTGATGTTAAACCTCTTGCGAGAAGTTAATGGCACCGAAATGAAAAGCCAGAGAGAGAAGGGCGATATACACAGAATGATACAGCAGCAATGCCGGAGTTCATATAGTGTATGACGTTTGTAACAGAGAAGATGGTGAAGAGAACGGAGGACATGAAGTAAGAAGTTGCCCATGATACTGATATATCCATCCTTTTGACTTTCCTCTATTGTTTTTCCACATCCGAACACTAATAAAACCGGAAAGAATGTGTTTTTTTTTAGCTAAAACGATTCCTGTAGAACTTGGTAATATGAAGCATAAAGCTGCAAAGAGGAGAGCTATGATAGCCATTCCCGCAATCTGAAATCCATTTCCTACTGCTATGCTTAAAATCTTTGAGCATCTTGACTCTCTGAATCCAACTTCAAGGAAAAGTTTCGATCTTGGTACCCCCTCCTTCTCTCTACCTTTCGCCTTATTCCTCCAATTCTCGGAGCTCACAACGAAGAAAGGTATCAAGATGTAAGATATCGTGTTTGAAATAAAAGATAGATAGTGGCCGGTCCTCCTTTCTTTTCTCAATATATGGTTCCCACCGACTGTCTGAAGTTATATTGCTCGCGATAAACTCAACCTCATATGTGAACGTAATATTAATCTCGTTCTCTTCAATCTCTTGACGCTCTCCCCTTGGTAGCACACAGTCTCTAGATGGTACTTTATCATACATAATAAGTTTTTACATTGCATCAGCATCTCGTTTAATGCTACAAGGAGATACCTCAAAGCCTACGATCGCAGAGCATGGTTGGTCGCCAATTCTGGTCTCATGAACAAAAAGCTTGAACTTGAGATTGAAGTTTAGTGCTTAGTTACCCAGCCTAATCAAAATACAACTAGCCTAAGCCTAATAACCACCAAACTAAACTTCACGGGACTTAAAGTCCCGTGAAGTTTCCCAAACTTTTTTATCATTTTCGATCCAGTTTCAGACAGTTGGTAGAAACTGAGTCAAAAATGGTAATTAAATCTCAAAGGGGTCATTTTTTAAAATTAAATTTCTAACAGGGTCTATTTTAAAAATTTGTCCATTCATTTAACTAAAGGAATGGATATACAAAGTGAGGATGAGAAGATTTGAGGTGCGGTACGAAAAGGCCAGAGAAAAGATCAGAAGACAAAAAGGACTAGTTTTCTTTTCTAAGATATTGTCGTACCAAAAGGAAGATGATCATACAATAAGATGATCTGCATCTCTGAATTTATTTTGGAACACTCCTCGCTGATCATTAAAAGAAAATGTAGAAGAAGCAAGAAAGGCAACACAATTTCATTGGTGAGCGAGATGCGACACAATGTTCTGACACCCAAAGTGCTCTACTCAAGGATAGAAGTGGGTTTGAGCAATAGTCGACGAGGATACCAGCCCAAATATTTTCAATCTATAAATCAAGTTTTGAAATGATATCAGAATAAGGTTACTAACTCTAGAGAGCATCTCTCGTTCCCACTCCTAAAACTATACCTAAACCTCAAGGTCATCGAGGAAGTCCCCGTTGTAACCCCTGACACAGCACTTCCTCCTTGGTGTCTCTAATGTCGTGTCACATCTTTGACTCCCTCTCAAGCTTCTCCTTAACTGTTTTTGGGAAAGCTCCTTGTTTTCATATCCAGCCACTCTCCTGTCTCACCATTTTCGACGAGTTTATAATCACAATATCCGCGATGAGTCTTTCTCTGCAGTAATCCTCTATACAGATCCACTCCGAGCTTTGCTTTATGACCAGTTCCACCTCCCAATGTTTATGGCATCGATTCTGAGTCCTCTGGCCTATGATTCTTCATCACTGGCCATATCAAAAGCATGCGCAAAGGTGTTATCAGGGAGCTCAGGTGACAGAGACCCAATCTCAATCTTAACCCAACCTTGCATATCGAATACAATATGAAGGTCACACGCGAACACTGGCATATCAAGGTCCACGCCTGTATCAATTGTTTTGTTCAACGCAGAAATCACAGATCGGACACATGGTAAAGAAAGGATGATATAACATTGCTCCATATATAATCAACAGAATACAGTCAAATCTTATTTATCAAAAGCCAATTAGCCATTATTGTAAGCATTCTTTTATAGCCATACAGAGATCAAAACCATACCTACTAAATAAGTAGGTTCAAATATAGAGAAATCTCAGTCTATGATAACTCCTTACAATTTCTTCAAAACGGCGAGACAACGTAGAACTCCCAACGCACCAAGGAATCCAATCGCTCCTGTGGACAATACAACTGCAAGAGCCATAAGGATCGAGTATCCAATATAGATTACAACTGATGCAGTCTCAGTTAGTCCTCTTAGATCAAACACTAGGTATTTTACCGAGTAAATGAACACGTATAAGCCACTAGAGCCTGAAGCAAAGAATGCTTTCCATCCCCATGCAGTTCCAATCATCAGCAATAATGCACATGTAACCTTCCCATCCCGATACTGAAACACAAGCTATAACTATAAATTGGGTAATGACCAAAGTGTGTTGAAGATCACAATAGGATCTCCCACCCCAAGTGCAATAGAAAATATTTGCTAGCTCGGTGCTAATGCTTCCATGGGTAATAAAGCCAGATAACAATATAACAGTCATTGTACCAAATAGACTAACAGGTGTCCGTCTTTTGTGCTCAGTACGAAGTTCATTTGAGATGGATCTTGTTGATGTCAAACCTCCGAGAAAAGTTAATGGCACCGAAATGAAAAGCCAGAGAGCGAGAAGGGTGCAATACACAGAGAATGATACGGCAGCAGTGCTTGTGTTCACATAGTATATGATGTTCGTAACTGAGAAGACAGCGAAAAGAATGGAGAAGAAGAAACAAGAAGTTGCCCAACATACGGATACCCATCCTTTTGATTTTCCCTTTATATGACTCCACATCCAAACAGTAATATAACCACCAAGAATCCCAAACAGTACGTAAAGGACTATCGCGATGGTTAAAAAGACGCCTGAAGAACTTGGTAATATTAAGCCTGGGGCTGCAAAGAAGAGAGCTAAGATAGCCATTCCTGCAATATGAATTCCATTTCCAACTGCTATGCTTAAAATCTTTGAGCATCTCGACTTTCTGAATCCAACTTCAAGAAAAAGTTTCGATCTCGATACACCCTCCTCCTCTCTAACCTTCGCCTTATTCCTCCAACTCTTAAAGCGTGCAACGATGAAAGGTAGTATGATGGTAATTATCGAGTTTATTGCCGAAGACAGATAGTGATCCACACTTGTTTTCTCGACATATGCTTCCCACTGAGATTCTGAAGTTATGTTACTCGTGATGAACTCAACTTCATATGTGAACGCTATAATCTCATCCTCTTTAATCTCTTGGCGATCATCCCTTGGTAACACACAGTCTGTTGATGGTACTTTATCATACATATTGAGTTTCGACATTGCATCAGAGTCTCGTTTAATGCTACAGGGAGAAACCTCAAACCTTACAATCTCATAGTATGGTTGGTCTCTAATTCTGGTCTCATGAACAAAAACCCTGAACTTGAGATGATTAATGACATAGTAAACATAAAAGGGAAATCCATGATATGCAACGGGATACCCTATACTTTGGAGCTGCATCCAATTTTGCCCAGGAGACCTCAAAACAGGCAGATCATCAAGAACCACATTTGCATGATAGAATTTGTCAGTTTTTTTTGTCCACGGCTCTACAGATTGTTTCGTTAACTTTGTCAAGGTGCAGAGGTAGAGGGATTCATTGGTGTTGATACGAAAGCGATAAGGAGAGCTTTGAATCTTTTCACCTAGCAAATGTTGGCCCAAGTTCATTTTATTGCTCTTGGCGATCAACCCACTATCGGGTTTACAGAAAGGGAGGCTGTAGTAGTCTCGAGGAAGTAGAGTAGCTCTTGATGTAAGAGAATTTACTTTCGCGTAGATATGTTCGTCATGAGAGTAACTTAGCTGGTCGCTACCCAAGAAGTTGATTGCACGGCATAAAGGAGGTCTCAGAATCAGGAACAGGATCAACAAGAGGATCAAAGAAGGGGCCATCGTACTAGTGTAACATTCAGAATGAAATATTTATCAGTATTAATTAGATTCACGTCATGATAAAATAGTTCACTGATCGTCAAGGGAAAATGTATGATAAAAATCTGAGATAAAATCAAAAACATAATGTGATATCATTCCATCTCTAACTACGAGAACAGAAAGAAAGAAAGAAATCATAGCTTAGCTCACCTCGTGATTACAGCACTTCTTCAATAATCGGAGGAGGCAGTGGAGGAGAGATGGAGCTCTTCCATTACGCTCTTAAGATCTTAGGAACAGAGTTGACCCGCATAATAGGGGCAGCAGCATCTCAGAAGCGTTGACTATTTTAAACAACACTGATCATAGCCAGTCTGTCAAAGGAAGGTGAATTCTCCGAAGGAGGAGGAGAAAAGTGAATACAGTCCCCTCGAGCTCCAAAATCAGCCGCTAACAATGTGACAGGCCAGACCGAATAATGAACCATTACCACCGATCACCGATGCCTCCGACCTTCGCCCAACATCTTTCTACTGAGATCAGCTCCAAACCCCTTCAAACCCAACGGTAATCCATCTTCTGCAGTCCTCTTAACGAGCAACGGCTCCCCATCAAAACCCACCTAATAACAAGACCCAACACTAGACCCAGTTTCCTTGTGCATACTTCTCCACCCCACCACCATCTCGAAGTGCTCGATACTAACAGAAAAATATTGTGGGATCAACCACTAACAGATCGATATAGAACGCACCTCGTGGAAAGAACTATACGGGTTTGTCTCCGTTCAGGAGATGGAGCTCCATCCGTTCAGGAGGTCCAGCCGTGGCGGATGGAGGTAGGCCAGGATTTGCATGGGGGATTCTGGAGGAGATTATTGGCTGGTTTTGAGAGGAACTCGGATGTTAAACAGGTATTGAAGAGAACTCTGATTTATTATTGATTGTATGTTTGGGTAGATTACAAGCTATATATATACAGAAGATTACACAATATAATATGAGCTGAACGGTAGGTAGCACTGTAGCTAGCGCGGCCATAGGGCGGTGGCACTGTAGCCTAGGCCGGTGGTGTTGACATTAACAGCCGGAGATGATGACTTTAACAGCCCCCGCAAAGTCACGGTGGATTAAAAACCGAGAGTTTGGATAAGAAGGAACGAAATTGAGAGATTGTTTGAGCCTTGGTAAACAAATCGGCAACTTGATCCTTAGAAACAATATATGTGAGTGTAATGTTGCCAGCAACATGCTCTTGTCGAACCACATGACAATCTACTTCAATATGTTTGGTACGCTCATGAAAGACGGGATTTGTGGAAATGGAGATGGCACTCTGATTATCACAATATAAAGTGATAGGGGAAGTAATAAAAACATCAAGATCTCGCAGAAGAGTGCGGAGCCATTTTAGCTCAATTGTGGTGTCTGCCAACGCCCTGTACTCGGACTCCGTACTAGAACGAGAGACAACGGCTTGACGCTTACTACGCCAAGAGATGGGAGATGATCCCAGAAAAATACAAAAGCCAGTAGTGGAACGCCGAGTGTCCGGATCATCAGCCCATCCAGCATCAGAATATGCACGAAGAGATAAAGATGAGTCTGAAGGGAAAAATAATGACTGGGTTATAGTGCCACGTAGATATCGAAGAACCCGAATGAGAGCTGCATAGTGGATGGAAGTCGGATTACTGACAAACTGGCTCAAGATGTGTACTGCATAGGCGATATCCGGACGTGTTGCTGAAAGATAAACCAATGCTCCAACAAGTTCCCTATATCGAGTAGGCTGAGATAAGGGATCACCATCATCATGTCGAAGCTTCAAGTTCATTTCCATCGGTGTGGAGAGAGGAGAGGTAGAAATAGAAGGATCACTGAGAGTAGCTCGCTCAAGAATGTCTGCAATGTACTTCTGCTGAGAGAGAAGATAGCCTCGGGAGGAGGAAGCAACCTCAATACCCAAGAAGTAACGAAGGGATCCAAGATCTTTCATCTCAAATTGTCTCTGAAGATGCTGCTTTAAGGAAGTAATGGCAGAAGAATCACTCCCAGTGATTATCATGTCATCAACATAAAGTAATAGAATGACTGTACCGGAGGCTGAGGACCGATAAAATAGAGCGTAGTCAGCTAGGCTCTCAATAAAACCAATAGAAAGAAGAGATTGCCGAAAACGCTCAAACCAAGCCCGAGGAGCCTGTTTGAGACCATATATAGCACGACGAAGGTGACATGCATGTCCTAGAGGAGCAGATAAACCAGGAGGCGGCTGCATGTACACTGTCTCAAATAGATCGCCATTAAGAAAAGCATTTTTAACATCCATTTGATACAAAGGCCAATGTTTTGCAGCTGCAACAGCAATGAGAGTGCGAATAGATGTCATTTTTGCAACAGGAGCAAAAGTTTCTTCATAGTCAATGCCATACTCTTGTGAGAATCCCCGAGCTACAAGACGAGCTTTGTACCTCTCAATAGAACCGACAGATCGAGCCTTAACCTTATAAATCCATTTGCAGCTTATCGGTTTAACACCGGAAGGCAGAGGAACAAGGTCCCAAGTATTAGTCCGACGAAAAGCCTCCAATTCTTCAGTCATTGCCTGTTGCCATTCTGGATACTTAACTGCCTCAGAATATGAGTTAGGTTCATGTATAGAGTGAATAGCAGCAAGAAAAGAGGCAAATTCAGGAGAATATGTGCTAGTGACACATTGAGCATACCGAGCAGGGGGATGACGATCTCGTGGAGGATTGCGGCGAGGGGGAGGAGTCACATCGGGAGAAGCTGGCACAGATGTAGAGGGGACATCAGTAGGAGTATCTTGCTGCAAAGGAGATGTAGTAGGTGGATGTTCAGGTGGTGTGGATGAATCAAGAACACTATCGTTTGATGCCATTGGAGTGAAGGAGGGAGTCGGTTGAGTAGACAAAGGTACAGGTACTACTGATACAGGTATAGTAGTGGAAGGTAATGAAGGGGGTTGAAGAAATGAGATATCTGAATCTGAAGTAGTATAATATGAAATATTCTCAAAGAAGGTCACATGACGGGCAATACGAAGCCTTCGAGTGGTAGGTTCATAACAACGATACCCCTTGTGAACAGTGCTATAGCCAAGAAAGATACATCGTGCAGTGCGTGGAGATAGTTTATCTCGTTCATGAGTTGGAAGTAGGACAAAACAGACACATCCAAAAGTGCGAAGAAGAGAATAGCGAAACTGAGATTTAAAAAGTTGAAAATATGGAGAAGTGTCAGCTAATACAGAAGATGGAGTAATATTTATAAGGTAAACAGCAGTCAGAAGTGCTTCTGCCCAGAGATATCGAGGTACAGATGCTGATATCAGAAGAGCTCTAGTGGTATCGAGAATATGACGATGTTTTCTCTCAGCAACACCATTTTTTTCATGAGTGTGTGGACAAGATTGTTGAGAGAGAGTGCCATGCGATTTTAAAATAGATTGCATTGCTGAGGAGATATATTCACAGGCACCATCAGAGCGAAATATCTTTATACGTTTATGAAACTGGGTGTGGATCATATTTGTAAAGTCTTTATAAATATTTAGAATATCAGAACGAGCACGCATGAGATATACCCAGGTGTAGCGAGAATAGTCATCAATAAAACTGACATAATATCGATAACCGGACAATGATGGTAATGGGGCAGGTCCCCAGATATTAGAATGAATCAAATCAAATGAGGCTAAAGAAATTTTATTACTGGATGAAAATGGTAGGGCAATTTGTTTAGCTAGTCGACACCCAGTACAGTTTGATAAAGTAGAGAATTTTAAATTTCCTAATACGCCTGATTCAGATAAAAGTTTTAAGCGAGAACCAGAGATATGACCCAAGCGGCGGTGCCACAGATCAGAAACAGAGAGGCCATGACCAATGTTGGATGGAGTGGAAAGATGTAGAGACTCCAACTGATAAAGTCCATTAACTCTACGACCTGTCCCAATCTTCTGGCCAGTGTGATCCTGGACAACACAAGATTTAGCATTAAATAAGATAGTGCAACCAGAATCAGCAATTTTCCCAATGGATAAAAGTTGCATAGATAATTTGGGAATATGAAGAACAGATGATAATGTTAGATGACCGGAACTATCAGAACTTGGAGTAATATCACCTAACTGAGAGACTGCAATGGGAGTGTCATTAGCAGTATAAAATGCATAATGAAGTGGGAGCTGGTGAACAATTTGTAAGAATGGAGTTATCAAAGGTCATATGATGAGATGCACCTGAGTCGAATATCCAAGGAGTAGAAGTACCAGAATGAGCAGACAAGGCAGTAAAATCTGAACTGGAGGCAGTTCCACTTAGCCCAAGATTCTTGGTTATTAATGCAGTAATCTCTGACAACTGCTCAGAGGAGAGAGGGCTAGAAGTCTGAAGCAGCAAATGGAGATCGAGTCTTCTCAGGTGTCGGACGGGGTGGTCTCTTACGACATTTATCAATAAGATGACCCGGCTTCTTACAATAACGACAGTATAGTTGTCGATTGGAATCAGATGTGCTGTTAGAAGGCCCCCGATAGGAAGAGAATTGCTGAGGAGTAGCTAGTACAGTATGTGATGAGGGTAATGGCTGAGATGCAATAACTGGAGGGGAGAGCATCTGAAGGCGCGTCTCTTCAGATATGAACTCAGCCACGGATTCACGGAGACTGAGGAGAGGACTGCGATGAAGAATGTGTCCACGTAAGCTTTCGAACTCAGAGCGAAGGCGCATGACAAAGTGATACAACTGTTGACGGTCACGTTGTTTCTGGAATGCTATGGTAAAGTCTGAAAGCGTCTCAGGAATAGGTTCCTCCATCATCTGCAATTCCTCCCAGTAGCCTGATAATAAGGAATAGAATTCTTGAACAGACCGATCACCCTGACGTGCATCCTGAAGAGCTTGGTGAAGTTGATACTCACGAGCAGCACCAGTCTGAACAAACATGCGACTGAGAGCTAGCCACTGCTCACGAGATGAAGATGCTCATCCAAGAGAGAGCCGAATATGAATAGCTACAGAACGCATAATATATGTCATGATCTGTTGATCAGTAGATATCTACTGAGAATAAGTGATCTGAGAATCATTAGTACTGATATGGAGGGTGTAGATAATGAAGGCACAATAACAGTTTTGGATGGACAACAAAAAGATCCATCAATATATCCCCATAGTGCGAAAGCTCGAAGATTATACTGCATAGTGAGAGACCATGCAGTGTAATTTTCGGTATTTGCAAGTTGCACATCAAGGGGCGGAAAAGTGTAGAGTCCTTTCTTGTCCATGGGCCTGTTTTTTTTTTTTAAGATGGGCTTCTGCTTGGATGGGCTTCTGCTTGAAATTGGCCTTTTTTTTAAGATGGGCTTCTGCTTGGATGGGCTTCTGCTTGAAAACCACTAGGGCTTCGGAGCTTCTGTGAGAGAATTGAGGAGGCGGCGACGGGTCAGCGGAGCGAAGATCGAGCTCACAGGGAACAATCGAAGAGATACGAAGCCGAGGATGAGGGCAGCGATGACGACGAGGATCTCGACGAGGCGGCTTGAATCGACGACGAGGGCAGCTGATTTGAGGGCGACGAGTTCGATGGCGGCTGACGGGTTCGATGGCGGCCTGAATCGACGACGAGGGCAGCGTGCTACTACGACGACGAGGTTGGGAGATGACGACGGCTGGAGCTAGGGATGATTTGTGAATTGGGTCTCTGATACCATGTTAAACAGGTATTGAAGAGAACTCTGATTTATTGATTGTATGTTTGGGTAGATTACAAGCTATATATATACAGAAGATTACACAATATAATATGAGCTGGACGGTAGGTAGCACTGTAGCTAGCGCGGCCATAGGGCGGTGGCACTGTAGCCTAGGCCGGTGGTGTTGACATTAACAGCCGGAGATGATGACTTTAACATCGGAATTACAAGATTTTTCGGTTGTTACGTTTTTCCAGATTTTCTCTCCCTCTCTCTATCTCAGGGACCCCAAAATATGGGGTCTGAGCGGGAAAGGTGAGTTGTCGCCTCCCTCCCCCTCTCCCTCCCATGTGAACTGTTCACATGGGACAGGAAGGCGACACCTCACCTGTCACGCTCAGTTCTTTATTTTGGGATCCTTGTAGCACTACTTATTGTTGAGGTACTAGGGTTTTTTGAAATAGAAAATCTCTGTTAGTTTTTTAGTTAAGAATTAATTGCATATTAGTCCCTTACTCATCCATGACTTCAAACTAGTCTCTCAAATCTCAGTAATTGCTTCTTAGTCTCCCAAAGCTGCAGTTATATTGCAATATCGTCCCTCTATTGGTTTTTTTGTTAGTTTCTCTAACGATGGTTGGGTTAACTCAACATCTGTAATTGTCTAAAATACCCTCTCTAGTATACGTTCAGGGGGAATATTACCCTGGAAAGAGCTCTGAAATGGTTTTGGGGGTGCCCTTGACTAGTGGGGAAGACGAACTATTTGGGTTTGGGTTTTAGGACAAATGGATTGTGGATTTAAACATGCAAGAAGTATTCCCCTCAAGGTTCACATTACTAAAACCAGAGGAACGAAATTGCAAGGGGTGTATATATATGAGGGACTTATGAGTAATTACTGAGATTTGAGTGACTAATTCATAATTATAGATGATTTAAGGCATGAATATGCAATTACCCCTTTAGTTAAATATACAAATTGCGGTTGTTTCTGAACAAGATCATCGGAAAAGATAAAACATGTGGTTAAACATAAATGACAGATATAACTCGAATTTCGGTATAACAAGTTAGATTTGAGGGGATACTCTTCTCAATTATCTAACTAAAGTTACGGGTGAAAATGAACCAAATAATTAACAAATAGTTTGATAATTGTTCGAATAACTATTCGGTCATATTTGATTCAGTAGTTCATTTACCACTAAACAAATATTTTTTAGTATTCGAGTTTACTAACGAATAAAATTTAACCAGATGTATATTCGATTCATTTGTCTACTGAATATTCGTTTAAAATTTAATCACAGCTTATTATTTGTATTATTGCACATATGATGTCATATTTTTAATTCACATACCATTTCTACTTAACTTTTATATACTGATTTTAAGACTAAAATAATCTTAAATCTATTTTCTAATTAAAATTTTGATTTAAACATATATACATCATATATTAAAAAGGAATAACTTTTATTTATGAATTTTAATATATTATTTGAAAATCAAAATTTTTAGTGGAATAAATATACTTTGATATTCGATAAGTATTCGTGAATATTCATGAATATTTATCAAATACCCTTTGATATTCGATAAGTATTCGTGAATATTCATGAATATTTATCAAATACCAAGTATTCGAGTTCGAAATCGAAAAACTAGATATATGAATATGAATATTTATCAAATACCAAGTATTCGAGTTCGAAATCGAAAAACTAGATATATGAATATTAGAGTCATCCGAATTCGATAATTTTAAACAAATACAAATACGAACATTGTTTGTGGGAAATTTGAAGAAGAAATAAGAATAAAATTTGTATTAATCTCCTTAACTGACTTAGGAAAAGAATAAATACAATCTCTCACTGTAATCTCTCTCTAACTGACTTAGAAAAAAAGAAATTACAAATCTTCTCTATCGGTATTAGGGCTGAGCATGGTTCGGTTCAAACCGAAAAAACCGACCGAACCGACCCGAACTGACCCGAAAAAATCGGTTTTATGAGTAGGGCGGTTCGGGTTGGTTTGAAAACTTTTCAACCCGAACCGACCCGAACCGACCGAATATAGTGCAATACTACCCATTCTGATATCAAACCCTACCCGACACGTCCCCAAAGAATCAAAAACTCAAACCCTAAACTAATTTTCTGAATCATTATGGGTTGAAAACAATATCATTATATCAGTGTGTAATGTTTCATAATCTCCTATTTTGTTGATACCTTTTTTTTCTTTAACACAATTTGTTGTTTGATAAGAAATTTGATGAAGTTAGAACCGAACAAACCGAACCGAACCGCACCGAACCGACTTGCAACAATTCGGTTCGGTTTTGAATTATAGGCGGTTCGGTTCGGTTGTTCAAATTTTGGAAAAAACCGAACCGAACCGACCGTTGCACACCCATAATCGGTATCCCGATTTACAAAAGAGAGAAGAAATCGACGAAGATCATTCCCTTTGTTTAAAACTGTGTTATTCTTGGTGTCGATGGGAGCTTGATTATTGTATCCCATTGACAATCCAAACACCTTGCTTCGTGGAACTTGGTAGAACTCTGAACGAGTTTAAGAGAACTTGTGATGCAAGTTCCAAACTCTAAATGAGTTTAAAACTCTGTAAAAGAGTTGATTTCGGAAAGAAAATTAATCCTTTTAAATTTAACCAAAATGGTTCACAAGTCAAGGCCGAAAGCTCCAAGAAAAGCCTTCACAAAAACCTTCACAAAATCTAAGAAGATCAAGACTCCAAATGTCCCTCTTTGCCAAGATCTTTTTCCGAACTTCAGATGATCCAAAGATCCATTTTAAGCTAATTTTTAGCTATTTATAGGGGTTTTAGGGGTGTAACTAACCCCTAAAATCGCTGCTTAGTGGGGTTATGATCCCCTCAAATCATGCAAAATGGTTTTGGTACCGTTCAACTCGTGTTTGAACGAGTCAAACATGAAATTCGCATTCTGGGAATGGACTCTGCGTCTTGAACTTCGAACGTGGAGTTGGGCTTTGCGTTTGGGTCTGAAAACGCAGTGGTGAACTCTGCGTTCTATTCTTGGAATGCGGATGTAAACTCCGCATCTTGAGTTTGGAACGCAGCAATGAGCTTCATGTTTTGTTCTTAGAACGCAGAGGTGAGCTCTGCGTCTTGAATCTGGAACGCAACGATGAGCTCTGCGTTTGGGCTTGAAGAGATCGTCAATTGTAATCTCTTTTCTCAAGTTCTGGAAAGATCGTCGTCTTGTAATCCTTGTATTTGGCTCTTTGAAATGTGAGAGTTATCAACTTGTAACTCTCGTATATCGCAAAAGTTGTTAAATTGTAACTTTCATCTATCGTTGTGAAGGTTGTTAGATTGTAACCTCCATCGTTTGTGCTTTGTGGGGATCAGCTGTCTGCGGTAATTTTTAGACATCCTACAAATAACTTAGTAATCAATTCGATTTGATCGTTTACCACGCTTAACTAAAGTTATCTAAAGGGGCCAACTTGCAAGTACCCTTATAAATTGAAGGACATATCAACAATTTTAAATTTGTGGATTAATATCAAACTAGCATTGTTGTACCTGCATATGCATGTGCAAGAGATAAAAAATATTTTTAATAAATCACTATATGTCAAAAGTATATATGAGATCTTAAACCTGAACAAACTATCATTTTGTTCCATACGGGGGAAAATTTTTCAGTCATCCATAATATCATAATAGAGTGCATGCTAGTAATGCATAAAATTTATAATTTTAAAAGAAAAATCTTATATTTTCTACTTTGACATTTCTTTGAGGGGGCTCCAGTCAGGTAGGGGGTTTGTTTCTTTTCTGATGCATTTTCTCAAGGAGAACGCTCCACCTTTTATAAAGGCCAAACCCATCATTTTCATCCCCTCAAAATTGCCTCTTAGAGATTTTCTCTCAACAACCTCATTTATCACATTTTTCTCAATTGAGAAACGTTAATTTGGTCACACAAGACCGAGTCAAGATAACATCTCATACTTGACCAAATTAACCAAGTGACATGTCTCCCACTATCCGTGAGATCAGATGTTTCTTCTTACCATTACTCCCACTATTCATAGAGAATAACTCTTATTTCATTATTCATGAAACTTTACTTGGACTTATTTATTCCTAAGTCCCATCAAACTTACATATTTGATAAAAGATTATGTTGGTATTCCTTTTGTCAAAGGATCAATAATCATATCTCTGTAGTAGGGATATAAGTCACTTTAACTTCTCCCTTTTCTATGATATCTCGAATATAGTGATACTGGATCTCAATGTGTTTTTTAGAGCTATTCGTGCCACTATTAATTAAGCTAATTACTTCTTGATTATCACAATAAATATCAATAGGTTCTTCTAACGAATTTAGATCTAGATCAATCAAAAACTGTCTTTTATCCAAATAACATGTGTAGTTGCCATACTGTAAGCTATGTATTCAGCTTATGTGTATATCTAGCAAGACACCATTGTTTCTTGCTACTCCAAGAAACAACTCCTCCTCCAAAGATGAACAAGTGTCCCGAAGTAGACTTTTCATCATCTTTATCACCTCCAAAATTACCATCAGAATAACCGAGGAGATGAAGCGAATTGGCTTGATAAACTAATCTATGAGTCAATGTACCTCTAATATACTTCATAATCATTTTAACAGCTTCCCAATGTACTGGTCCAGGATTGCTTTGATATCGACTGACTAGACTTACATCATAAGCTATATCAGGTCTGGTGCATAACATTGTATACATCAAGCTTCCAATTGCTTGGGCATAAGGTACATCTAATAGCCTTTGCCCCTCTCCAGGGCTTTACTCTTTACATAATCTCTTTCCTATAACCAACGGAGTTAGCACCGTATTGGAATTTTTCATTCCAAACCTTTTAAGAACTGTTCTTAAATATTTTTCTTGGTTTAAACTTAGCATTCTAGACTTTTTATCTCTAATTATTTGAATTCTAAGAATATATGATGCATCTCCCATGTCTTTCATCTCAAACTTTTCATTGAGATCTACCTTGATTTTATTCAATATTTCTATGTCATTTCCAACGAACAATATATCATCAACATATAAAGATAATATAGTAAATTTGCTCCCACTTTTTTAGACATATAGACAATTATCTAATTTATTTTAAATAAAACTAAGTTTAGTGACTGCATCAAGAAATTTGAGATACCATTGTCTAGAAGACCGTTTTAAACCGTATAGAGATTTCATTGATTTGTAAACTTTATATTCTTATCTTTTCACCTGAAAACATTCAGGTTGTTGCATACATATAGCTTC